GTTCAAGATGATGCCAAAGGAGATGCAGCCAAAAGCCACCATGCGCCCCAGAAATGTGTCTGGAACGGTGTCCCCGTAGCCCACCGTAGAGAGGCTGACCTAGAGAGGAGGAAGAGAATGACACAGAACCGAAACAGGATTGGGCCTCGTTTGCAAGCAGTGAAGATGCACGCCTGCCTTGCGGCTCATCGAGAGCATGCCAGAAAGTCCCCGGATTCCTGGTACCCTTGGGGACGCGGGTGGCGCTGTGGGTTAAACCACAGAGCCTAGGACTTGCCGATCAGAAGGTGGGTGGTTCGAATCCCTGCGACAGAGCGAGCTCCCGTTGTTCAGTCCCAGTTCCTGCCAACCTAGCAGTTCGAAAGCACGTCAAAGTGCAAGTAGATAAATAGGTACCGCTCTGGCGGGAAGGTAAATGGCATTTCCATACGCTGCTCTGGTTCGCCAGAAGCAGCTTAGTTATGCTGGCCACATGATCCGGAAGCTGTACCCTCCCTCGGCCAGTAAAGTGAGATGAGCGCAGCAACCCCAGTCGGTCACGACTGGACCTAATCGTCAGGGGTCCCTTTACCTTTAACCTTGGGGATCTGTTCCAAGCCTGCAAATCTATGAGACAATGCACCCAAATTAGCTTTGGTTTGTTCCCTGCCATCTTGTGCCCTAAGCACCCAGTGAGCTAAGCCTTTTTCTGCCCACACAGACCAAAGCCAGACCACTAGGTAAAGGTAAAGGACCCCTGGGGTTGCAGCGCTCATCTCATTTTCAGGCCGAGGGAGCCGGCATTTGTCCACAGACAGCTTTCCTGGTCATGTGGCCAGCAGGACTAAGCCGCTTCTGGCGCAACGGGACACCGTGACGGAAACCAAAGCCCACAGAAACGCCGTTTACCTTCCTGCCACAGTGGTACCTATTTATATACTTGCACTGGTGTGCTTTCGAACTGCTAGGTTGGCAGGAGCAGGGACCGAGCAACAGGAGCTCACCCTGTTTGTGGAGTCAAACTGCTGATCTTCTGATTGGCAAGCCCAACAGGCTCAGTGGTTTAGACCACAGCGCCACCTGCATGCCTAGACATTTTTTGCTCAGCATCCCTTAAGCACCAAGCAGATCGCTGTGGTGTGCAGGAGGCAGGGGCATAGCGTGTGTTGCCTGTGCCCGGGGCAAGGCTGGGTGGGCTAATGGTCCGATTCCACACGATTAAATCAGGAGCAGGGGGAGGTTGAGACGGGTGGGCAAGGGCTACTCATCCATCACCTGATTGACCCATGTCAAAGGTGACCCACAGGCTTAGGGTGTCAGGGATTGGTAGGATGCAGAGGAATGCTGGGAGGACCCAGCAAGGGAAGAAGTTTCAGAGCCCGGGGAGTGGGGGTGGGACAGCAATGAGCGGTCAGAGAAGACTGTGAGGAGGTTTGGAAGCTGAAGAGGCAACAGGGTTTAGTGAGCTGGAAGAGTCTGCGACAGAGATAAGTCCAAAATCAGAGGCAGAAGCTGAAGCAGGGGAGGAGGGAGGCCAAGAAGCAGAGATGAGTCAACCTGGTGAAAAGACACAGGTCTCTCTCCCTCCTCCTTTGTGTCCCAGAACCAGCAGAGGGATGAAGTGAGAGGAGCAAAGACAGGCATGCAGGCACAGTCTCTGATTGATTGGGGGGGGGAAACCCTGGAGAGGAGGTGACTGATGGCTGGGGGGGGCGGGAGGCGGGGACCTTTAGCCTCTCCTTTAAATTAGAAGCAGTGAAGGCGGTGAAGGTCCTGTGTGAGTGCCTGGAGGTGGTTGGAGGATGGATGGCGGCTAATAGATTGAGGTTGAATCCTGACAAGACAGAAGTACTATTTTGGGGGGACAGGGGGTGAACAAGTGTGGGGGACTCTCTGGTCCTGAATGGGGTAACTGTGCCCCTGAAGGACCAGGTGCGCAGCCTGGGAGTCATTTTGGACTCACAGCTGTCCAGGGAGGCTCAGGTCAATTCTGTGTCCAGGGCGGCTGTCTACCAGCTCCATCTGGTACGCAGGCTAAGACCCTACCTGCCTGCGGACTGTCTTGCCAGAGTGGTGCATGCTCTAGTTATCTCCCGCTTGGACTACTGCAATGCGCTCTACGTGGGGCTACCTTTGAAGCAGCACCCAGCAGGGTTGACCACCCGTGACCATCGGCTGACGCCACCCAGTGATTGGCAGCGGGGCGTAGTTTGGGGGAAACGGCCAAACCGGAACCCCCCGCAAGAATGGAGGTTCCCCCACCTGTGGAGCAGGTAACCAGAGGCACTCTACTCACTGCTGCCCACCACCAGGCGCTGGGGATGCTGGTGAAGTTGGTGCCGGGGACATCGTGCTCCACGGAGTGCATCAGCGCCGAGAACGTGAAGACGCCCATGGCGATGAAGAGGAGGAGGCAGCAGACCTGCTGGTAGCACTGGCGGATGGTGAAGCCGAAAGCCCGCAGGCCGGTGGAGTGGCGCGCCAGCTTGAGGATGCGGAAGATGCGCATGAGCTTGATGAGCTTGAGGACCTTCCCCAGCTTCCCGACGCTGCGCATCTTGTGCAACTCCTCGTGGTACTCCGTGTCCCCCTCGCCCAGGTTCTCGAAGAGGAGCTGGATGTAGAAAGGGAGGATGGAGACCAGGTCGATGGCGCTGAAGGCCGCCCGCAGGAACTGCTGGCAAGAGGAGGCGGAGATGAGCCTCATCAGGTACTCGAGGGTGAAGAAGATGGCGCAGACGGTCTCCACACGCTCCATGCACTTCTTGCTGGTCTTGTGCTGCATCTCCTCCACCGTGCTGAGTGTCATGCCCACGATGGAGACCAGCACGCAGACGCTGGACATGATGGCGATGATCTTGGCCGGGATGGAGGAGAACGGGTTCTCCACCAGGTTCCAGATGGCCTTCCGGAACGTGCCCAGGAACATGCCCTCGAAGTTCACCTCGCTCTCCAGCGGCTCCAGCTCCGCTTCCAGCTCCCGTTGGACCTTCAGGTATTCGGCCATCTCGTCCTGCTTCTCCTCAAAGAGGATACGGCAGCACCTTTGGGCGTACTTCATGTGGACCCCCCAGTACTCGATCTCCTCCACAAAGTTGGCCGGGCAGAGTTCCTGCATGATCCACATGACGCCGCTGCGGTAGAAGTGGAAGACATAGTGGAAGATGAGGGGGTCCCGGTCGAAGAAGTATTCGTTCCTCGGGACCGAGTAGTCGTCGCAGAGCTGCAGCTTCTTCATGGGGTCGGTGGCGACGGCCAGCTGGCCGATCCTGGTGACGGGGTACCTGGCGGCCACTTTGCACGCGATCTGGAAGCATTTCCCGCCCACGTTGAGGTTCAGGAAGTAGCGGTTCCTGCGGGGAGGGATGCTCTGGCGTTCCTGGGCCCTGTCGGCCACGTTGTGCATTGACCCCCATTGCTTGACCAGCCTCTCCTGAGCGAAGGGGATGTAGACTTCTTCCTCTTCGGGAGTCAGGCAGCATTTCTTGTAGTCGCCGATTTTCAAGTTGGCCGAAAGGCTGGACCGCCGGTTTATGGGCTTCCTCATCGCTGTTGAGTGGCGCTTACAGGCTGCGGTCTCCCTAGCTGCTAGGAGAAGCCCAGTTCCGGGGCTCCCCGGTCCTGCTCCCATTCAACGAGTGATTGGGTCAAACGCCTCCGAACAGCTACTGTGTGTGCACAGTCTGGCTTAACCCTCTGAGTGTGTCCCCCCCCCGGGCTGCTTCTGCGACAGAGATGCTGGGTGTATCTGGAAGAAGCTATGCCCAAGCTTCTTAAAACGTTAATAAGCTTATGGGGTTAACCTTTCAAGTTAAGAAGCTATTTTTGGAAGCCGGGTCTTCCTTTGATTTATCGGACGCTCCCATCTCCCACGATGGGCACTCTATCCTTTAAGTGCTTTTGATCCTTGAAAAAGTCCAGTACATACAACACGCCCCCCACCCAAACCTGTTGGACTTTAAAGCCAGGTGTGGAGAACCTCTTGTTCTCTGCAAACTTTTTCAGCAGGGGGCCGGTCCACTGTCCTTCAGACCTTGTGCGGGTCCGGACTATATTTTGAAAAAAATATATGAGCAGATTCCTATGCCCCACAAATAACCCAGAGATGCATTTTAAATAAGAGGACACATTCTGCTCATGTAAAAACACCAGGCAGGCCCCAGAAATAACCCAGAGATGCATTTTAAATAAAAGGACACATTCTGCTCACGTAAAAACACGCTGATTCTCGGACCGTCCGCAGGCCGGATTTAGATGGCGATTGGGCTGGATCTGGCCCCCGGGACTTAGTTTGCCTACCCATGCTCTAGATCAGCCTTTCTCAACCTGTGGGTCCCCAGATGTTGTTGAACTACAACTCCCCTCACCCCTAGCTAGCAAGGCCAGAGCTCAGGGATGATGGGAGTTGTAGTCCAACGACATCTGGGGACCCACAGGTTGAGACAGGCTGCTCTAGATGCAACTTCTCCCTGGCCATTCGCCATGCTAGCTGGAGCTCATGTGAGTTGTACTTCAACAGCACAGAGGCTTCTGCTGCCTGCCTTCCATCAATCAATCAATCAATCAATCCAGGAAGGGGCAGCAGTATGATAGCTGTCAGGTTTCAGGGTTCTGCCCAACCAGTCACGATAGTTATGTGCGACTTCCAGCACCATAGAGTTGGAAGGGAACCATGAATGGGCATGATTTGTGAAAAAGCAGCATACAAATAAACCGAATGAATGGAAGAAAAAAAAAGAATCTCTGTGGAGAGGCTACCAGAAATAATAATAATAATAATAATAATAATAATAATAATAATAATAATAATAATAATAAAAAATTATTTATACCCCGTCCATCTGGCTGAGTTTCCCCAGCCACTGTTTTCCTTGTGTACTATGAAAGTTAATAATAAATATCTGGGCAAGTTACTGTAGTTATATGTAGTTTAGTTCTTTTATTAAAGTGTAAAAAAACCAAAAAATGTATTGGCAGGGTGGGGATAGAGAAATAAGAGAATAAAAGCCAAAACTCTCAAGTTATTTTTTCTCCAAAAAGTTTTTTTTTTTAATCCTTTACAAGTTTCCAGAGTTGATTCTGTGTCAAACGCTTAAGCAACGGAGTTGTTCCAGCTGGACATTTCAGAAGATCCTTTTGGGACATTTTAGGACAACCTATGGGGTTTTATCCCCGACAGCAAACTGGGCTCCCCCCTCTTTGGCCTGATTCTCACAAGAGAGGGATGCAGCCATGGAGATTTGTGCGAGGGAAAACACTGGGCTTGCACGAGGCAAGGTGACCTGAACAAAGCACCGAAAATTACAGCTTGAGCCTGGGATGATTAAAAAAAAACGTTTTTGCCACACAAGGATGCTTGCTGCGTGCAAAACTAGCATGGCAAAGGAATGTGCCATGGCGATTTTCTTCCACTGTTTTTCGCCACAGTTGGTGGGAAAAGAGAAGACGAGTGTACTGGGGAAAATGTAAGGAAAGGTTTTAGCCAAACGGCAAATGGCCCAGTGTAGAGGAAAAACAACCTAAAACGGCAATTCAAATATGCATTTGATGCAATTTCCACCAAAGCATACTGGATAATAATGCTGTTTTTATTAATGCGTGCCCCACATTTTCCAGTACCCTTTTGAGCCTCTGTTCATAGCTGCAGTGGCTAAACTCAGCAGCTCTTTGCCATGGAAGATCAAGGAGCCAGAGGGCAGAAATAAATACGTTTTGAGATGACAAGGACCAGCGACAGGGAGGTCTCCCTTGAGAAAGCGATTGACCTTCTAACTCGGATGTGCAGCTGAAGTTCTCGACTGAAGGCACCTGTTGAAAGGTGAGCAGCAAGTGAGCCCGGCAGGGACTAAAAGGCTCACCGTTCTTCTCAGAGGATGTGTTGAATCAGACGCCACGCTTCCGAAGGCAGGCCAGCTCTGGAGATCATAAATGAAATTATTGGTAAGAGTCGGAATCCATGAAACACCAATCATTTCTTAATTGAGGGAAAATCTACCGTAGCAGTTCAAAAGCACGTCAAAGTGCAAGTAGATAAATAGGTACCGCTCCGGCGGGAAGGTAAACGGCGTTTCCATGCGCTGCTCTGGTTCACCAGAAGTGGCTTAGTCATGCTGGCCACATGACCCAGAAGCTGTACGCTGGCTCCCTCGGCCAATAAAGCGAGATGAGCGCCGCAACCCCAGAGTCGGCCACGACTGGACCTAATGGTCAGGGGTCCCTTTACCTTTTAGATGCAATCAATTGACCGATGGACCAGTCAAATAAAGTCAAACCACTGGTTTAGATGCATACGATCTGTATATACCGTATTTTTCGCTCTATAGGACGCACTTTTTCCCCTCCAAAAATGAAGGGGAAATGTGTGTGCGTCCTATGGAGCGAATGCAGACTTTCGCTGAAGCCTGGTGCGCACTAACCCCTCTCGCTCTCCAGGCTTCAGGCAGCTATCCGCAAGCCTTCGGAGCGCGGTGGGAGTTCCCGCCGGGCTCTGAAGGCTTGCGGATAGCAGCCTGTTCTGGGGGCTGGGGTCGGGGGAAGCCCGAGCTTCCACCCGGTGCCAGCCCCGCGGCTAAAAACAAAGCCGTGCGCAGCTTCTCCCGCTGGAGAGGTTGTGCGTGGCTAAAGAGGAAGCCAAGACAGCCAGTGGGATGGAAGAGTTGGAAGGCGCCACAAGGAATGCAAAAATCTGTTGCCCAACGTGGGCTCGAACCCACGACCCTGAGATTAAGAGTCTCATGTTCTACTGGCTGAGCTGGGAAGAGGCTTCTAGGAAGAAGCAGGTGGCCTGCAGGTGAAGAGAGAGGGGGAAAAATGAGTCAAATGCGTAACTCAGGTGTACCTCGAAGGAAGGAGTCTCTCAAGGCTGCTGTTTTGCGATCAGCTGCTCTGAACCGTGGTCCCACTTGAAGCTTGCCAGGTGTCTCGCTTTCGCACGGCTCCAGGCGGAGGCAAAAACAGCAGCCACCACGACAGCCAGGAACGCTACGGAATGAAGAAGAGAGGGGGATAACAATAACAACAACAACAATAATAATAATAATATTAATATGAATAATAATAATACAGTGGTACCTCAGGAAACGCTGTTTACCTTCCCGCCGGAGCGGTACCTATCTATCTACTTGCACTCTGACGTGCTTTCGAACTGCTAGGTTGGCAGAACCTAGAACTACAGTGGTACCTCGGGTTAAGTACTTAATTCGTTCCGGAGGTCTTTTCTTAACCTGAAACTGTTCTTAACCTGAAGCACCACTTTAGCTAATGGGGCCTCCTGCTGCCGCCACGCGATTTCTGTTCCCATCCTGAAGCAAAGTTCTTTACCCGAGGTACTATTTCTGGGTTAGCGGAGTCTGTAACCTGAAGCGTATGTAACCTGAGGTACCACGGTAATATTATTTATACTCTGGGCCCACTCTGGGCGGCTTCCAATGGAATATTAAAATACAATAACCCATTAAACATTCAAAGCTTCCCTAAACAGGGCTGCCTTCAGACGTCTTCTAAAAATCTGGTAGTTGTTTTTCTCTTTGACATCTGGTGGGAGGGCGTTCCACAGGGCGGGCGCCACCACCGAGAAGGCCCTCTGCCTGGTTCCCTGTAACCTCACTTCTCGCAATGAGGGAACCGCCAGAAGGCCCTCAGCGCTGGACCTCAGCGTCCGGGCAGAACGATGGGGGTGGAGACGCTCCTTCAGGTATACTGGACCCAGGCCGTTTAGGGCTTTAAAGGTCAGCGCCAACACTTTGAATTGTGCTCGGAAATGTACTGGGAGTCAATGTAGGTCTTTCAGGACCGGTGTTATGTGGTCTCACTCCCAGTCACCAGTCTAGCTGCCGCATTCTGGATTAATTGCAGTTTCCGGGTCACCTTCAAAGGGAGCCCCACGTAGAGGTGCAACTGCAGCAGTGGCCAACAACAGCTTTCCCCGGTGGACCAACTGTCCCCCACCCCACCCCAGTTTTCTGTGTGTGGATGTGCACAGCATCAGTAAGGACAGGGCAAAGCAACCGGGTGTACCCCACTCCCTTTAACAGCTCCCCCCGCCCCCAGAAAGGCAGCTGCATCACCACGGCCACGGTATGGCTTCCTGTGCAGGAAAGATCATTGCAAATAAAATATTCAAATGGCTGTTCCCCCTGCCTGAAGCAGGACACACGGTTTCCGCTCTGTGGGTGTGCAACCAGTACGTTTGCAAACGAGTGTCTGCAGATTCAGGGTGCCAGCGATTTGGCCCCAAGAGGATTAGTCAATGATGGAGATGACAGAACATTTAGAATTAGCCAAACTGACAGATATAATAAGAGAAAAACCAAAAAGCGAAGTGAAAAAGGAATGGGAGTGTCTAAATGAATACCTTAAAAGCCAAGGTTCGAGGACAGAAATCTGGCAGAGTCTGGAATAACCTTGTGATGTGAAAGGATAAGAAAGAGGGATTTATATCTGGATGCTAGGATAGAGATGATCAGGAAAACGGGAAGACACAACGAGAGGTAAAGGAGGTGCTGTGGAATTGGTGGAAGTCAATGTTTGTTTTTCTCTTTAGTGTTTATATTATTAACTTGTAAGATATGGATTTGTTGGGGTTTTTTTTAAAATGTCGGTTTTTGTGTTTTGTGTACAGGTATTGTTATTTTTCGATATTTTTCGTGTTGTTGTGTGGAAAATACTAATAAAATTTATAATTAAAAAAATAAATAAAATAAAACGATGGAGATGACACCAGCCCCACCAAGTCAAAAATGGTTAGCCACCTTTGGCACAGAGCAGGGCTGGGAAACCTACCGTATTTTTCCGTGTATAGGACTAGGTTTTTTTAACCAAAAAGTTAGGCTTAAAATTGGGGCTCGTTTTATACACGGGGAGCGTTGAGGGGTGTTTTCTTAATTTGGAGTCCCCCCCAAAATAGGAGGGAGTCTTATACATGGGGGCGTCTTATACACGGGAAAATACGGTATTTGGCTCTGCAGGGCAAATATCGATCAGGATTGGTGAAAGTTGAAAGAAGGGTGAGGCTGCAGGGTTCAATCATGTTTTCAGCAGCAGCCAGCAACCTGCAGGTGCGAGGATAGTGGGCGTAGTTTTGGGGAAATGGCCTGGTGGGCCAAATCTGACCGGCTTAGGGTTCAATAAGAAATGGCTCGCTATTCGAAGGGTATCTTGTTATACGCGACGGCGGCAGCTTTTGATCGCAGCAAAATGGAAGAGTAATGAAATCCCCTCTATACAAGATTGGATCCAAAAGCTGACAGAATATGCCGAATTAGATGGTTTATCAGAAAAAATAAAGAATAAATCAAAACAGGAATTTGTTTCAAAATGGGAGGTTTTCAAAAGAATATCTGAAAAATAAATACAGTGGTGCCTCGCAAGACGAAATTAATTCGTTCCGCAAGTTTTTTCTTCTTGCGAGTTTTTCGTCTTGCGAAGCACGGTTTCCCATAGGAATGCATTGAAAATCAATTAATGCGTTCCTAGGGAAACCGCTTGCCAGGCTGGCAGTGCGGAGAAAGGCTTTTCTCCCCACCGCAAGCCTTCAGGACAGGTACGGGAACAGAGGGGAAGGCGCGCAGCGCTTTCCCTCTGTTCCCGGGGCTTGCGTGGGAGGAGGGTTTTTCCTCCCCACCGCCAACATTCAGAACAGCATTCTGAATGTTGGCGGTGGGAAGGAAAACCCTCCTCCCACCCCAAGTCTTCAGGAAAGCCATCCAAAGCCGGGCGGCGGGAGAAGGCGTCCCCGCCCGCCGCCCGGCTTCGGAGCATTGTTCCGAAGCCGGGCGGCGGGAGGAGGAGTTCCCGCCCCGCCGCCCGGCTTCGGAGCTTCGTTCCGAAGCCGGGCGGCGGGAGGAGGTCCGAGGACAGTGGGGAAGACGCGCTGCGCTTCCCCGCTGTCCCGGAGATTTCCCTATGGGCTTTCGTCTTGCGAAGCAAGCCCATAGGGAAATTCGTTTTGCGAAGCGCCTCCAAAACGGAAAACCCTTTCGTCTAGCGGGTTTTCCGTCTTGCGAGGCGTTCGTCTTGCGGGGTACCACTGTATAGTAGTTTAAATTCTGTTGCAGCATTCGAGGAACTTCAGTAATAGTTGCAAGGTAGATATAAGAAATTAGATTTATTAATAAGTTTAATTATGATAAAAATGTGTATTGGCAATAAGTAATATGAATTTGAAATATGGAATAGATGGGAGGTTGGGTCTTTAGTGTTAAGACCAATAGATGTTTTATTGTTTGCTAAGAAAATTATGTGTCTATGGTTATTCTTGTGTGTAATTTGATATTTGTGTTTTTTCCCCTTTTTTCTTGTTGTATCAATAAAAAACTTTATTTAAAAAACAAAAACGAAAAAAGAAAAGAAATGGCTCACTATTAAACACCAGGCAGATGGAAGACTGCTTTTGCCATTACGACTCACCGATGATGGAAAGAACCACCAAATCCGCAGGCATCGCATTTCCAGGGACAGGCACGCCATCTTAGAAATGCAGGCAAGAAGGGGAAGGGGAAAAAACACACCGTATGCAGGTTAATTTTTAAAAAATAAGATTTGAGTCTCATGTTGCAAGACGGGGTTTAAACGTGGGTTTCGAGACCCCAAATAGGACCCTCCAGCTTCTAAGCTTCTAATACAGTGGTACCTATTTATCTACTTGCACTTTGACGTGCTTTCGAACTGCTAGGTTGGCAGGAGCAGGGACCGAGCAACGGGAGCTCACCCCGTCGTAGGGATTCGAACCGCCGACCTTCTGATCGGCAAGTCCTAGGCTCTGTGGTTTAACCCACAGCACCACCCGCGTCCCCTTAACTATCTACCTGTTATGAAATAATAAATAATTTTGAATGAGCTAGAAAAACAAAATACATACACACCTAGGTATTACCGAAATGTATACCTACTGTTTCACTAAAGGACTTTCGACTTTGTGTGCCCACTTAGCAAAGACGCGCTGCGCCAGTGGTGGCGCTTGTCATTCACAACGGTGGTGCATGTCAGACTCTACGACGGCGCTTGTCATTCACAACAGCGCCGTGCACGCAAAATTAACTCTTACATCAAAATATTATGTTACGTATTGTAACTGCTATGCTATGCTTCATGTAGCAGTCGGGCCAGCGGCCCCTTTGACACATGTGATTTTCTCCTAAGTAGGTGCCTAAACAATACTTATAAGTTTAAGGGTAATGGTGTTGTATACTTAAGTATAAGTGTACAGTGGTACCTCGGGTTACATACGCTTCAGGTTACATAAGCTTCAGGTTACAGACTCCACTAACCCAGAAATAGTACCTCGGGTTAAGAACTTTGCTTCAGGATGAGAACAGAAATCATGCTCCAGTGCGCGGCAGCAGCTGGAGGCCCCATTAGCTAAAGTGGTGCTTCAGGTTAAGAACAGTTTCGGGTTAAGTACGGACCTCCGGAACGAATTACGTACTTAATCCGAGGTACCTCTGTATTGTAAATAAATGAGCAAATAAAAAAGTTTGTTTCTTCTTCCTCCCTTCTTTCGTAAAGAAGAGATAAGGCGTAAGCGTTGTGTCTGACATAAGCATAATAAAAGTTAATTTGGGGGCTAAACTAAATTTGGGGGCGCTGGGTGGATCTTTGCACCCTGGCGGCACGTATGCTAAAGACAGCGCTGCCCACACCCCTTTCCTTGAAACTCCAGGGAGAATTCTGCCAGGAAAGAAGGTGCGGCGGTCATTCCCTTTTGGCAGAGGCAAGGCAGGGAGATAAATGGAAAGGGCTCCCGGGCAACCCAGGAGCACCGCAGACAATAAAAGGTCTCATCAAAACTTGGCAGCGACAGCAGCAACAGCAATACCAGCATAACTGGACCCTACAAAAGCTGCAGTTTTATAGCACCCAACTGTAAAACAAGGCTAAGCAGGGTCTGCAAGAGCATTTTGCAGCGTGGAGCGATTCAGGTTCAGGGTGTCGGCCAGCCACAGCTTCTTCCAGGAAACTCCATTTCAAGCTTTGAAAAAAGCTGGTTTTGTATTGAAATCCGTTTTCATATTTTAACTGTTTTAATGGGACGCGGGTGGCGCTGTGGGTTAAACCACAGAGCCTAGGACTTGCCGATCAGAAGGTCGGCGGTTCAAATCCCCGCGATGCGGTGAGCTCCCGTCTTTCGGTCCCAGCTCCTGCCCACCTAGCAGTTCAAAAGCACAAACTGCAAGTAGATAAATAGGTACCACTCCGGCGGGAAGGTAAACGGTGTTTCCGTGCGCTGCTCTGGTTCGCCAGAAGCGGCTTAGTCCTGCTGGCCACATGACCCGGAAGCTGTACGCCGGCTCCCTCGGCCAATAAAGCGAGATGAGCATTGCAATCCCAGAGTCGGCCACGACTGGACCTAATGGTCAGGTGTCCCTTTTTATGTTTTAATGCATTGCACCTTTTCCTTGGATTTACGGTTCTATTTCTCTGCAAACCGCTTTGAGGTTTATGTTTTCTCTAACAATCAAGCAGTGTACAGATTTCGTGAAATAAATAACACGGATAAATAAATTTCTGTGCAGGTGGGGAATAAAGGCCCTGGGGGTCAAAAAGAAGCTGATGATGCATAGCGATAATAATCATTAGGAACTGTGAGCCTCAGAAATTCAGTGCATGGCCATGTGCAGAGTGTACTTCCCTCACCAAACTTTATATTTAATAAGATGACTCCACAACACAATGGTGCTTATTTAGGACACTTTTATGGTGCCAATACTAATATTTTTCGGAAGCTGAATGTCTGACGCGGCTTCCGATTAAGCACAGGAAGCTCCTGCAGCCAATCAGAAGCCGCGCCTTGGTTTTCAAACGGTTTCGGGAGTTGAACGGACTCCAGGAACGGATTAAGTTCGAGAACCAAGGTACCACTGTACAGCAATATTTCCCCTACATTCCAAATAATTTGGGGTGGTGTTGGGGGAGTCAAGGACAACTTTATATTTTAAAAAACCCTTTTAACGTGAAGCAAGCAGAGACAAAGGGGAAGAAGGAAAGGCATTCTGAGTCAGCTAAAGGAGGGGGTTACGGCAGAGATGGTTGCCAGGATACCTGTTTGCCCCCTAAATCAGATTACTGCACAGCTTACCTGTCTGGGTGGCTGGTGGCGTTACCGAAACCGTTGGGAAGTCCAGAAGGCAGCCTCGTTCATCCCTCTCGTCCGGACAATCAGAATGGCCGTCGCACACAAACGCCAGCGGGAAGCACTCTGCCCCTGGTTCGCATTGAAACTCGTCCTTCGGGCAGGCTGGCGAAGTCGTGTCTACTCGATGCCCGCAGGCGTCTAAGGACTCGTCAGAATTGTCCGGGCAATCGCCGTGGCCGTCACAGATCCTCTCCAAGGGCAGGCAAGGGCCGTCGCTGCCGCATCGCCTCCCACGGGGTCCGCACGAGACGTTGGCGGCTCGACAGCCTCTCTCGTCGCTGCCGTCGCCGCAGTCCCGCTTCTCGTCGCACCGCTGGCACAGCGGAACCTGGCCGCCGTCTTCGCACCGGAAACTCCCGAGGATGCAAAGGAAACGTTCTGAATTGTGAAGGGAGAGACACAGAAACAAACATACAAGAGCGTCATTTGGGAGACCCAAAAGGATGGTCAAGAACATCGGAGCAACTCCAGTAGCTCAGCTATGAAAGAGGCAGGATTTAAAAAGGTAAAGGTTTTTACTCTGGGGTTGCAGCGCTCATCTCGCTTTACTGGCCAAGGGAGCCGGCGTACAGCTTCCGGGTCAAGTGGCCAGCATGACTAAGCCGCTTCAGGTGAACCAGAGCAGCGCACGGAAACGCCGTTTACCTTCCCGCCAGAGCGGTACCTATTTATCTACTTGCACTTTTTATATGTCATAAGTCGCCTCAAATTACTTTAGTGTGACCCATTTATTTGTTTATTTAATTCATAAAAACTTGCATGCCACTTGATAAGTTTTTTTTTAAAGGATTGCAAAAAAGGTAAGATCAGGAAGGATTTACAATATATTAAAACATAACAAGAAGCTTAAAATGCTGAAGCAGCTTGAAATGCACACCAGCTTTTCTAAGTGGCTGAACTAAACAAGGACGTTCTTAGCAGGCGCTGAGAAAAATGCAGTGATCTCAAGCAGGCTTTTGAGTGTTTGTAAATCCTGCCTAAGGGATGCGGGTGGCGCTGTGGGTTAAAACACAGAGCCTAGGACTTGCCGGTCAGAAGGTCGGCGGTTCGAATCCCCGCGACGGGGTGAGCTCCCTTTGCTCGGTCCCTGCTCCTGCCAACCTAGCAGTTTGAAAGCACGTCAAAATGCAAGTAGATAAATAGGTACCACTCCGGTGGGAAGGTAAACGGTGTTTCCGTGTGCTGCTCTGGTTCGCCAGAAGTGGCTTAGTCATGCTGGCCACATGACCCGGAAGTTGTACGCCGGCTCCCTCGGCCAATAAAGCGAGATGAGCGCCACAACCCCAGAGTCGGACACAACTGGACCTAATTAATGGTCAGGGGTCCCTTTACCTTATGACATATAAATGAAGCTGGCATAAAAGTGGGGGAAACACCCCCACAAAGAAAAATAAAAAAGGTAAAGAATGGGAATATTTCACCCAATCGAGGCGACAGATAATTAAGAGCCAAAGGCCTGGCAAAAAAGAAATGTTTTGGCTTAAAACCTAAAGTTATGTAATGATGGCACTAGGGAAGCCTCCCTGGGGAGAGCGTTCCACAAATGGGGAGCCACCACTGAAAAGGCCCTTGGTCATGATAAAATAAAAGCACATAAGAGGCCTTACTAATCAGTTGGTGAGAAAGGCCCTATTCGAAGTTTGGGAGAGAAATAAAACAATAGTAACAGCCAAAGCTCCCTGGTGACTATCGCCTATAGAGTCATCAGCCATGCATAGAAATAATATGAAAGACAGTTGGCTAACATATAGGGAACTCGTAGAACTGTTCTCATGTTGCCACTCTCTGGAACTCCTAATCACAGCTTATTTTTATGGGCAAAGAAAAAATATCACATGTTATTAGAACGGGACAAAAGTTTCAACCACAGTGGGGTTGGGGTGTTGTTGTTTTTTCTGGGTACAATTAGGATTATTTTTTCCAACACCCCTTCTTGGAATTTTCTTATCGGAACAGGATTTTAACAGAGGACTTTGGCTGCACATTCATTCATAATAGGAGCAGCAGGGGTGTTTTTTGGTTGAGCCTAATAAAGGTTATATATTCAGTATCCCTAGGTGGGATTTTTATTGGAACTGGGTTTGAATAGAGGGCTTTAGCTGCGCAGAAATAAAAATAAGTTCTGAAATATCACAGGAATGAAGAAATAGCAAGGTTGTGGTTTAAGTGCCAAGTAATATTTTTTTTTTGGGCAGGACAAGAAATATCAGTAAATGAGGCCAATGAACAGGGAAGGGTCAGGAGACCTAAGCAAGCAGTGACCCACCCTTATGTATGTATGAATACACCGAGGGTGGGGATGGGTGTTGTCAGGTGGGTTGTACCCAGTAATTCCCAGTCAGAGTAGACCCACTGATAGACATAACTAACATGGATTGCTGCAGGGGGTTGGACTAGATGACCCTTGGGGTCCCTTCCAAATGTTACAATTTCAATTAAAATGGACCCGCGCTGAGCAGGTGTAACATAGGACCTAGCCTAAGGAGACGTAAGACCTGGGTTCAAATCTACACTTGGCTCCCCCCCTCCACCTCTTTCCCCCTATTCTTCCTAACGTCTCAACAAATGAAGCCGATTTGTAAAAAAAAATGTGTTACGTGGGGGGAAAATACGAGAGACATTGCACATACCTTTGTAAATCAAGAAAATCTTTAATACAAATACATTTTTTTTAAAAGTCAACACTTGGGCATGAAACTTACTGAACGACCTTGAGCCAAGTCACTCTTGCTAAGCCTAATCCGTTGTGCCAAAGAACAGAGAAGAATCGTTTATTCGGCCTTGACCTCTCCCATGAGGGATAATTGCATTCATTAAATTCAAAAGACTGGCTGCAAGTTTGCTCAGACAGCATTTGAAGCACACAGCTTCAACCCAAAGACTCCTACGATCTATAGCACCTCCGAAAAGGGTGAACTATAATTCCCTATACTATAAGTACCTCGAAAGATGAACTACAGTTCCCAGGGTAAAAAAAAAAAAAATTAGGGGGGGAAGCCATGTGCTATAAGATGTACAATGTGGATGTGCCCAATTACTGCCTCTAAAGCTTGATGGTTAATGCTTAAGGATGCATCTAGCTTCAGTCCTACTCTCACTGAAATTAATGGAAAATATCGATGTGTGCCTGTTGTCTTTGTCCATGGAGTTTTCTTGGCAGGGATACTGGAGTGGCTTGCCGGTTCCTTCTCCAGGTGGATCATGTTTGGTCAAAACTCTCCACTATGACCTGTCCATCTTGGGTGGCCCTGCACGGCATAGCTCATAGCTTCTCTGAGTTATTCAAGCCCCTTCGCCACGAAGGATAATATGGTCTGAAGCTCAACATTAAAAAAACGAAGATCATGGCCACTGGGCCCATCACCTCCTGGCAAATAGAAGGGGAAGAAATGGAGGCAGCGAGAGATTTTACTTTCTCCGGCTCCATGATCACTGCAGATGGTGACAGCAGTCACAAAATTAAAAGACGCCTGCTTCTTGGGAGAAAAGCAATGACAAACCTAGACAGCATCTTAAAAAGCAGAGACATCACCTTGCCAACAAAGGTCCGTATAGTTAAAGCCATGGTTTTCCCAGTAGTGATGTATGGAAGTGAGAGCTGGACCTTAAAGAAGGCTGATTACCAAAGAATGGATGCTTTTGAATTATGGTGCTGGAGGAGACTCTTGAGAGTCCCATGGACTGCAAGAAGATCATATCCATTCTTAGGGAAATCAGCCCTGAGTGCTCACTGGAAGGACAGATCCTGAAGCTGAGGCTCCAAGACTTTGGCCACCTCATGAGAAGAGAAGACTCCCTGGAAAAGACCCTGGTGTTGGGAAAGATGGAGGGCACAAGGAGAAGGGGACGACAGAGGACGAGATGGTGGGACAGTGTTCTCGAAGCTACCAGCATGAGTTTGACCCAACTGCAGGAGGCAGTGGAAGACAGGAGTGCCTGGCATGCTCTGGTCCAGGGGGTCACCAAGAGTCGGACACCACTAAACGACTAAACAACAAATTCAAAAGACTGGCTGCAAGTTTCCTCAAACAGCATTTGAAGCATGCAGCTTCAAAGCAAAGACTCCCAGGATCTACAGCACCTCCGAAATGGGTGAAGTACAATTCCCAGTACCTTGACAAACAGTTCCCAGGGTATTTTTTTTGGGGGGGGGAAGCCATGTGCTATAAGATGTACAATGTGGATGTGCCCAATTACTGCCTGATGTTGTTGTTTAGTCGTTTAGTCGTGTCCGACTCTTTGTGACCCCCTGGACCAGAGCACGCCAGGCACTCCTGTCTTCCACTGCCTCCTTCGAGAACACTATCCACCCATCTCGTCCTCTGTCGCCCCCTTCTCCTTGTGCCCTCCATCTTTCCCAGCATCAGGGTCTTTTCCAGGGAGTCTTCTCTTCTCATGAGATGGCCAAAGTCTTGGAGCCTCAGCTTAATTAATTAAGTATAGCTTAATGGTTGATGCCTTAGGGATGCACCTAGCTACAGTCCTACTCTAGCTGAAATTAATGGAAAATATCGGCGTGTGGCCATTAAGTTCTCCTCTTGGTAGAACTTAAGTTGGCTAGGCCCCTGAAGGTGGGAGTTCTGTCCTCCATTCATCCATGAAGCTGACTGGGGCCCATTTGGGCTTTACTAGCTTAATAATAATAATAATAATAATAATAATAATAAATTTTTATTTATATCCTGCCCTCCCCAGCCGAAGCCGGTCTCAGGACGGCTAACAACAATAAAATAATAATAATAATAATAAATTTTTATTTATATCCTGCCCTCCCCAGCCGAAGCCGGTCTCAGGGCGGCTAACAACAATAAAATAATAATAATAAATTTTTATTTATATCCTGCCCTCCCCAGCCGAAGCCGGTCTCAGGGCGGCTAACAACAATAAAATAATAATAATAATAATAAATTTTTATTTATATCCTGCCCTCCCCAGCCGAAGCCGGTCTCAGGGTGGCTAACAACAATAAAATAATAATAATAATGAATTTTTATTTATATCCTGCCCTCCCCAGCCGAAGCCGGTCTCAGGGCGGCTAACAACAATAAAATAATAATAATAATAATAAATTTTTATTTATATCCTGCCCTCCCCAGCCGAAGCCGGTCTCAGGGCGGCTAACAACAATAAAATTAATAATAATAATAATAATAATAATAATAATAATAATAATAATAATAATAATGTGGCCTACTTCACAGGGTTGTTGTGAGGGGGGAAACAAAAATGGGGAAGAAGCAGGAAAAGTTACCCCACCCATGGAGGGAGGGTGGGGTATAAACACATAACACGTGACCCCAAATTCTAGCATTATAATTCCTAGGTATTAATAACAAACACGCTTTATTCTTGTTTATTTCTCTCCTCAGCCTGAAAGTACAGGCCCCGTCTCCATGACAACCCCAAAGAGGCCCCGCCCACCACCCCTCAACCAATAAAAGGGCGAGGTCACAGGGGGAGGGGCGGGCTCAAGCGAGCGTCCAATCGGCGCCTTTCCGAGAGCCGAGGAGTGCCTGGCCAATCGGCGCCGGCGGTGGAGGTGGGCGTGACCTGAGTGGAGCCCCCCCCCGCTCCCGCGTGTGCCGGCATTCCTGCCCAGAAAGGGGCTCCTCGCGCATGCGCGGGTTGCGCTCACCTGCGTCTATAGCGGCGGCTGTTAGGAGCAGCGAGAAGAGCAGCGCCCGCTCCATGCCGAGAGTGTCCTCTGCGCCTGCATTGGAGTCCGCCGGGGGGAAAGAAATACCGCGTGGGGAGTGACGTCACCCAGGCGGGTCAGCTCGCTCCGCCTCCTCGCGCATGCGCACGCGGGCGGCGGACCAAAATGGAGCGGCTAAAACTACATCTCCCATCAGCCCCTTCGGGCAGGGACAATGCCATGGGGAGATGGGAGTTGGCAGTTGAGCCGCTTCCGGGTTCGTTGGCACGTGCTGTCGGATATTTATTTATTTGTTTTCGCATTCCATTCATTCATTCATTCATTTTATTTTATTTTATTGCATGTATAGATTTGATCGATATATATATATATATATATATATATATATATATAGTTGTTGTTTAGACGTTTAGTCGTGTCCGCCTCTTTGTGACCCCCTGGACCAGAGCATGCCAGGCCCTCCTGTCTTCCACTGCCTCCCGCAGTTGGGTCAAACTCATGCTGGTAGCTTCGAGAACACTGTCCCACCATCTCGTCCTCTGTCGTCCCCTTCTCCTTGTGCCTCAGCTTCAGGATCTGTCCTTCCAGTGAGCACTCAGGGCTGATTTCCTTCAGAATGGAGAGTCTTGGAGCCTCAGCTACACAATCTGCAAAGACGCGCTTGTCATTCACAACGGCGCCGTACACGCGAAATGAACTCTTACATCAAAATATTATCTTACGTATTGTAACTGCTATGCTATGCTTCTCTGCGGCAGCGGGGTCAGCAGCCCCTTTGACACGACTGATGTTTCTCCTAAGGAGGTGCCTAAACAATACTTATAAGTTTAACTGTGGTGGTGTTGTATACTTAAGTATAAGTGTATTGTAAATAAATGAGCAAATAAAAAAGTTTGTTTCTTCTTATTCCATTCTTTTGTTAACAATAAGGCGTAAGCATGGTGTCTGACATAAGCATTGTTGTGACCAAAGTACTGGAGCCTCAGCTTTAGGATCTGTCCTTCCAGTGAGCACTGGAGAGGTTGGATCTTCTTGCAGTCCATGGGACTCTCCAGAGTCTCCTCCAGCACCAGAATTCAAAAGCATCCATTCTTCGGCCATCAGCCTTCTTGATGGTCCAGCTCTCACTTCCATAACTTTTATATGTCTGTTGCCTTTGTCCATGGAGTTTTCTTGGCAGGGATACTGGAGTGGCTTGCCGGTTCCTCCTCCAGGTGGATCACGTTTGGTCAAAACTCTCTACTATGACCTGTTCATCTTGGGTGCCCTGCTCGCTTAGTTCATAGCTTCTCTGAGTTCTCCAAGCCCCTTCGCCACGGCAAGGCAGTGATCCATAAAGGGGACAGTGATCCATGAAGGGGATGATCCATGATGGGGAGATGGGAGTTGACAATTGAGCCACTTCCGGGTTCGTTAGCACGTGCTGTCGGATATTTGTTTTAGCATTCCATTTATTTATTGATTTATTTTATTTTATTTTATTGCATGTATAGATTTGATTGATCGATTATTGCATATATATATATATATATATTCCCTCCCCCTCTTTTTCCTTTCTCCTCCTGTGATGAGGCTGCATTTTAATTGTTTTAATGTTGTAATGTTGTATTTTAATCTTGTTTTTAAGTTGTATTCATTCCACTCGTTTTTATTATTGGTTGTTAGCTGCCCTGAGCCTGGATTTGGCCGGGGACGGCGGGGTATAAATAAATTATTATTATTATTATTATTTATTTATTTATTTATTTATTTATTTATTTAATTTATTTCACTAATTATTGCATTTATAACCCTACTTTTCCTGCAAGGAGCTCACGGTGGCGTGGATCAGGCATAGGCAAACTCCAGCCTTCCAGATGTTTGGGACTACAATTCCCATCATCCCTGACACTGGTCCTGTTAGCTAGGGATGATGGGAATTGTAGTCCGGAACATCTGGAGGGCCAGGGTTTGCTCATGCCTGGCGTGGATGGTTTATCTGCAAGCAGGTGAAGGAAAAGTGCAACCGGATGGTCGTCCTGCAGGTTTTGGGTTTTTCTTTTTCTTTTTTTATAATAATATTTATTAGTTTTCCAACAAATTGAACACAACACTACAAAAAAACCAAAAAAGAAAAAACATACAATAATACAATACAATACAAAAAGAAAAAAAAGATACAACTAACAAAACAAAAAACCATTTAAATCACAGTCCAATTTCAATATTTTGTCCTTCTTTCCCTAATTTCCACGACCTCCTCACACCTCCCTTTTTGTATTCCGCTTCTATTAATTGTTTCAGCAATTCCTTTCCATCTTCCTCTATTTTCTACCCTATAATTGTCTTAACACATTCTAACTTATTTTTCCCTTTAATGCTCTAATAATCTATTTATACTTAATTCCTTATAATATTTCTACTAAAGCCATATAACTTCATTCCAACATTTTTCTAACATTCATTAATTTTACAGTATTTCTGTAAATAGTCTTTAAACTTTTTCCAGTCTTCTTACACCAACTCTTCTCCCTGGTCTCGGATTCTGCCAGTCATTTCCGCCAATTCCATGTAGTCCATCAACTTCATCTGGTCGGCCAATTGGTATTAAAGGATAGAACTTTTTTAATGTATGCAACAACAGCAGCAAGAATACTCATCACGAAATATTGGAAGACACAAGATTTACCCACCAGGGAAGGATGGCAGGTTTTGGGTTTTTCTTTGCGTGTGTGGGGAGCGTTGACACAGAAGTAGATCACTGTCACGGCATTCCGAAATGGAACCAGGGGGAAATATTGTTTTGTTTATTGCGTGTTGCATTCAACTTCATTTTTTTTTTTATAATAATTTTTATTAATTTTCCAAACATATATAAAACAAATAGTAGAACAAAACAATACAAAACATACAAACAAATAAACACGTATAATTTCTTAGACTTATTTTCATACACCTTATTTCCCGGACTTCCCCATACCTCCCTTTTTCTGCATCCTTATGTTAGCCCTTTCTCAGCAACCCTTAGTTCAATTAATTCGCTCATTTTCATTTTACATTCTTTAAAGTTATGATTTACAGCTGCAATTCTCTATTTCTTATAACCTAACTTCAGACCCCCTCAGAACCAGACTGACTGAAAGGAATGGACATGACTGGACTTAAATGCCACTGGTTTCAGTTAGTCCACTCCGGGACTGATTGAGTGAAAAAAACACAATGGAATAATCTTATGATCAAAGCCGCCTCTGTTTTTGCACTCAAGATCACTCTACCTGTTACGTTAACCATTGTTTCCAACACAATAGCTCTATTATGATGTGAATTTCATAGGAAAAAATACAATCTGACAGGAACAAAAGCAGTAAAAAAATAAAATACACACCCCAGAATACTTGGCTGAAGGTTACAAACCAGTCTCTGAAGCCCTGTAAATGATTACAAGAAATTCAGATTACGTTTATATGTCAAATAGGAGTGGCAGGTCCCAGTGAAACATGGCTTAATTAGTGGTATTCACAATCTTTCTTTTGTATTCTCTTTGTGGCAGGTCAGTTCCGTTGCAACATCTAATTCATTGTGTAGTCTCTTGAGAATGTATTTTATCTGAGGAACCCTTTAAATTAGACTTGGACTTAGACTTGGTACATTCCCCCCCCCTTTTTGTCATATTTTTTTCTTGTTGTTTAGCCGTTTAGTTGTGTCTGACTCTTTGTGACCCCCTGGACCAGAGCACGCCAGGCCCTCCTGTCTTCCACTGCCTCCCGCAGTTGGGTCAAACTCATCCTCTGTCATCCCCTTCTCCTTGGGCCCTCCATCTTTCCGAACATTAGGGTCTTTTCCAGGGAGTCTTCTCTTCTCCTGAGGTGGCCAAAGTCTTGGAGCCTCAGCTTCAGGATTCTGTCCTTCCAGTGAGCACTCAGGGCTGATTTCCTTCAGAATGGAGAGGTTTGATCTTCTTGCAGTCCATGGGACTCTCCATTCTTCGGCGATCAGCCTTCTTTATGGTCCAGCTCTCACTTCCCTACATCACTACTGGGGAAACCATAGCTTTAACTATACGGACCTTTGTCCGCAAGGTGATGTCTCTGCTTTTTAAGATGCTGTCTAGGTTTGCCATCACTTTTCTCCCAAGAAGCAGGCGTCTTTTAATTTTGTGACTGCTGTCACCATCTGCAGTGATCATGGAGCCCAAGAAAGTAAAATCTCTCACTGCCTCCATTTCTCCCCCTTCTATTCGCCAGGAGGTGATGGGACCAGTGGCCATGATCTTCGTATTTTGGATGTTGAGCTTCAGACTCAACAGCTTCAGCTTAGGGGGCTTAAAGTCTGTGGCTCTGACCCCTCCCCATTTTAAAAGGCCCCTTACAGCTGAGGGGAGGGGGCGGCTTGCTTCCTGGCCTCCCCTCCCCTCCCCTCTGGGTTGCATTTGGTGGGGGGCCTGATGCCCTTGTTGATCCATTGGGGGGCTTATAAATGTGACCCTCCCCCCATTCTGAAATCAGGGAGGTTGTAAGCGGAGAAAAGAACGGAGGACGGACTTCGCCGGTGGCGCCCTGAATTTTGATCCTGTGTTTTGTTCGCCGGCTCTTTGCGCGTGTTGCAGACCTGCACGTGTGTAGATCAAGGCCGGGCAACGTAGCGTGCAGCGATCCCCTTCGTTTCCTCCTTTTCCCCCATTCATAAAGTGCTTGACCAATCAACAAGCGCCCTTTCTGACAGCGCCCTCTTTCCTTTGGCGATCAGACGCGCGGGATCAGGAGAGGTTGCGAAACATCGCCCTCTAGCGACGACTGCGCTGGTACTGCAGCTGCCAAAGCAGGGAACCCCCTAAATCCTCAATTTAGTAGGAATCTTTAGGAATTCATAATAAATCATTCCAGTGACGGGTTTTGATCCTGCCACGGTTGCTTATTCAGGGAAAAGGTGGCCATCCGAGGAGGGGCTTGGCCTCATCTCTGAAGCATATGGTCCCGTCCCCACCTGCCCTATTGCATAAGGGTTAAGCCCTCCATCCTGACTTTGGATGGTCGGACAGAAACCCATCCAGGAAACAATGTCCTCCCGGTCTCAGTGTATTGGAAAGACAAGGGGGGGTACTTGACATTGTCTGGAGGGTCAGAGATGGCAGGTATTTATTTCCC